TTTATTATTGTGTAGACCTGACGCGGGGAGGGCCAAGGGGACACTGCTGTACTACACGTCGTGTGGCACAGGGAGACCAGACCTGGAGCAGACAGCTCACGGCCATTGCTAACGTTGTCTGGGAACTCTGTGGAGGTTACTTTTGGTGACAGAAGAGTGGTGAGGCTCTGAGCCCCGTGTTCCCTGGTTCGCTGGCGTGTCTTTATTAGGGGAATTAAATACGTGGTTTATGACTGAGTTTACTGGACACCTGGAAGAGCTTCAGGGAACAGCTTATCCTGTCATTAAGTTGCTCCATCATTCAGGAGGTGATTATGTTAATGGCTCTTTATTTAGAGTACTTCCACACAGTTTTGGAAACACTCCATCTTTCTGAGCAGTACTAAGCCCTTGTACGAGGACGTACTAAAACGGTTTCAAAACTAATTTTCCTGCACGATGGCCCATATTAAATGGCCCATTTTTCTTAAGAATTAAAAAAAAGCCCACCTATTAGAACGTGTATTAAAATATATTTGGTAATGCTTCCATTTGATCAGTAACACAAACAGTTTAAAACATACGCTCTGAAAAGTTAATTTCAGCGAGAAGTTAATGAGGTTTAACTCGGTGAACTTTGAAAGCATGTGTTTTGGAATATCGCTAGAATCCATACTTGGAATAGTTGTACCTGATGCTCCTGTTTGCTTTATGCCATTGTTTATTTAAAAGTCAGAGAGATAGAGACATTGCCCATCTGCTGGGTCACTCCGCAGATGCTCACAGTGGTCAGAGCTGGACTGGGCCGGGCCAGGCTGGCACCTGGAGTCAGGAGCTCAGTCTGGGTCTTCCATGTGGGTCTCAGGAACCCGACCACTGCCATCGTGTGCAGTCCCCCAGGGTGCCCATTGGCGGGAAGCTGGAGCCACACTTGAACCCAGGCCCTCTGAGAAGGCGTGCAGGTCCTGGTGGCATGATGAGCACTGTGCCCAATGCCCGCTCCTATGCTGTTCTATTTTTATCAGTTATTATGTGGAGTAATAGTCACCCTTGAAGCAGCTAAGGTTCTTTAGTATGTTCCCTAACATTTCCACACATAGTTGTATTCCTAACTTTTTTTTTTTTTTAAGATTTATTTATTTTTGAGAGGTAGGATTACAGACAGAGCTTCCTGGCCCAGCCCAGTCCAGCTCTGACCACTGTGAGCATCTGAGGAGTGAACGAGCAGGTGGGAGATCTGCCTCTGTCTCTTTTTAAATAAATAATGACAGAGAGAGAGGTCTTCTATCCACTGGTTCACTCCCTAAATGGCCTCAGTGGCCACAGCTGGACCAATCCGAAGCCAGGAGCCAGGAGCTTCTTCTGGGTCTCCCACATATGGTGCAGGGGCCCAAGGACTTGGGCCATCTTTCCACTGCTTTCCCAGGCCATAGCAGAGAGCTGGATTGGGAGTGGAGTAGCTGGGACTAGAATCAGCACCCATATGGGATGCTGGCACTTCAGGCCAGGGCGTTAACCCACTGCGCCACAGCACTGGCCCGTTTTTTTGTTTTGTTTTGTTTTGTTTTGTTTTTTAAGAGACAAAGCTACCATCTATGGACCTACCTCCCAGATGCCCACAGTGACCAGGGCTGGCCTGAGGCCAAAGCCAGGAGCCTGGAACTCAGTCCACATCCCCCGTGTTATGGCAGGGACCCAGGGATCTGTACCATTGTCTGCCTCTTCCCGGGATCTCTATTAGCAGGAGCCTGAACTAAGCAGCTGGGGCCAGCAGTCGAGCTCAGACGTTCACATGTGAGACATTTGTGTCATTTACTTATTTATTTGAAAGACAGGGAGAGACGGATCTTGTACCTACTGGTTCACTCCCAAATGGCCGTTACGGCCAGGGCTGTGCCCCGCCTTGGGCCGAAGCCAGGAAGCTGGATTGGAAGTGGAGCAGCTGGGGTTCAACCGATGCTCATGTGGGATGCTGGTTTGCAGGCAGTGTCTTTACCCACTGTACCACACTGCCAGCCCCGCCATGGGTGTCTTCACTGGTGTCTTTTTTTAAAATTATTTTTATTTATTTTTTATTATTTGACAGAGTTAGACAATGACCGAGAGAGACAAAGGTCTTCCTTCCATTGGGTCACCCCCCCCCCAAATTGCTGCTACGGCCGGCGCTGTGCTGATCCGAAGCCAGGAGCCAGGTGCTTCCTCCTGGTCTCCCATGCGGGTACAGGGCCCAAGCACTTGGGCCATCCTCCACTGCCTTCCCTGGCCACAGCAGAGAGCTGGACTGGAAGAGGAGCAACTGGGACTAGAACCCAGCACCCATATGGGATGCCGGCGCCACAAGGCGCTGGCCCCCTTCATTGATGTCCTAATTGCTAGGCTAAACACTCCCCCCAGAGGTGGGTCTTATGGGGGATAATTGGGTTTAGATGAGGTTGTGAAGACGAGGCCCCTGTTGATGGGACTAGTGCATTTATTAAAATAGATCCCTAGGGGCCAGTGCTGTGGCGTAGTGGGTAGAGCCACCGCTTACACTGGCGGCGTCCCGTATGGGTCCCAGCTGCGTTACTTTTGACCAGCTCCCTGCTGATAATGTGCTTGGGAGAGCTGAGGAAGATGGCCCAAGTGTTTGGATCCCTGCTTATCCACGTGGGAGACCTGGAAAAAGCTCCTGGCTTTGGCATGGCACAGCCCTGGCCGTTGTGGCCATCTGGGGAGTGAACAAGTGGATAGAATATCTCTCTCTCTGTCTGTCTGTCTGTCCTTCTCTCTATGTAACTCTTTAAAAAAGATTTATTTATTTGAAAGACGGAGTTAGGTGGAGACAGAAGTCTTCCATCTGCTGGTTTACTCCCCATATGGCCGCAATGGCCAGAGCTGCGCCAATCCAAAGCCAGGAGCCAGGAGCTTCTTCCTGGTCTCCCACATGGGTGCAGGGGCCCAAGGACTTGAGCCATCCTCCGCTGCTTTCCCAGGTGCATTAGAAGGGAGCTGGGTTGGAAGTGGAGCAGCTGGGACCATATGGGATGCCAGCTCTGCAGGCCAACCCGCTATGCTACAGTAATGGCCCCAATACGCAAATCTTTAAAAAAGAAAAGAAAAGAAAAAGGCAGGTTCCCCGAGGCAGGCATTTGGAGCATTGCTTAAGATGCCCTTGGGATGCCTTCATCACATAGCCGAGTGCTTAGTCAAGTCTCAGCTAATGTGTCCCCTGGGAGATAGCAGGTGATGGCTCAAGTATTTGGATGGAGCTTCAGCCTGGCCCAGCCCTGACTGTTGTGGGCTTTTGGGGAGTGAACCAGTGGGTGGGCGGTCTCTATCTCCATCTTTCTCTCTGTCTGCTTTTGAAGTAAATGATAATAAATAAAATATTTAAAAGACAAAAGAAAAGAGAGAGGGGCTCGTATTGTGTTGCAGTAGGTTAAGCTGCTGCCTGTACCAGTTCAAGTCCTGGTACTCCATTTCCAATCCAACTCCCTGCTAATGTGCCTGGGAAAACAGCAGAAGGTGCCCGAATGTTTGGGTCCCTACCACCTGTGTGGGAGTCCCGGATGGAGTTCTAGGCTCCCGGATGCAGCCTGGCCCAGCCCTAACCTGTGACTATTGAGGGAGTGAACCAGCAGATAGAAGATCTCTCTGTTTCTCACTCTGATTCTCTCACTCTCCCTTCTCTAATTCTGCCTTTCAAATAATCGGTAAATATGAGTCTCTCTTCTCTACCACCTGTGAGGGCATAGCCCAGAGGCAGCTGTCTACAGCCCCCCATTCACCGGGGCAGAGTACTAATCTGAACTGCAGATGGAGCCTTCGTTTGCTTGTGCCGAGTTCCCCACGGCCCCAACACCTGCCGAAGGCCGAGTCCTCAGGGGAGGGGTCGCTGCCCCTAACTGGCCCTGCTGCCGTTCCTCAGCCCTCCTTGCCTTCTGCTTCAGCCTCTCGTCGCTCTCCCTCCCTCTGCTTTCTTGCCAGTGCACTCTTAAGTCGTCCTGCAGGCACAGCGCTTCCTCAGACCCGCTGAGGGAACCGCGTCCTGCCTGTCTACACTGGTCTACGCTGGCGGTGTGACTCCTGGTGCTTCTGAATGGAATCCTGTTTAGGGTGTGGGGAAGCCCCGCTGTGAGGGGGCTCTTGCCCAGCCCCTCCATCCTCCTCACCTGTGGTCGGAGCCCCTCCTTGGGCCAGCCCCTTAGAGCAGTCGCCGAGCACACTCTGTACCTGTTCTCCCTCTTACTGCTGCTGGTGTTTTCCCATTGAACGTGGCACTTGTCGAAGGTGGTTTAACCCGTCGGTTCATGAGGGAGCCAGGATTTCCCAGCAGTGTCTGGGGGGTTCAGACAGCACCCAGGCCGTGGGGAGCACCAACTGCTGGGTGCTCCCAGGGCGGGGATCACCTGCTCTCATGAGACAAAAACCGCTCTGTCCTCATCTCAAAGTCGTTGCAAAGCGCCCCAAAGGCAGTGAAAGGTGTTGGCTTCTTTAAAAGTAAGTCACCTGGGAGGGTACACTAGTTAGCACATCCAAGAACCTTTTTTTCAGTTTTTCCCCATGTCGAGGATCATGTCAGAGACCACAGCTGCTGTGGGAAGGTCCCTGGGCACACTGGGTGTTAACGACCCAGGCTGCCTGAGCGGGCGTCAGCCGTCCAGCCCGCCATCACTGGCAGATGTGACCCTGGGAGTAGCTGCGTGTGCAGAACGCTTTCCTACGGAGGCTCCTGATTGGCAACCTCAGAGGCACCTGCAGGCTGGGGGCCACAAGTGAAGTCGCCCCCATCACGGGGAGTCAGGGCCCCAGTTGCACACCACGCCCTCCTGGGGGCAGGGAGGAGGAGTGGGTCCTGAGCCGGCAGAGAGCCGTGTTGGTGGAGCCTCGGGTCGCCGGCTTGCTGAATCCCGTGTCCTGAGGCGGGTGGGCAGCTCTCCTCCCACTGCCCATCACGGTCTGTCCCTGAGGTGCCAGTGTGTGTGTGGCGAGTGTGGACGTCGTCCTTGCCAACCTCTCTTGACTCTCACTGTCTCCTGCAGGTTCACATTGAGATCCACTGAACGGTCTCCCGGACCCACAGAGGCGGGATCGTGCTCGTGCGCCCAGGAGCCCCAAGCATGAGGTTCGGCAGAGGGACCCTGGGCGCCTGCCTGGCCCGCGTCGAGGCGGAGGCGGAGGGAGGAGACTGGGCGGCGCTGCCTTCCCTGCTGAATTCCCAGAGCGAGGCGCTGGCGTCGGGAAGGAGAGAGGATCCGCGCGGGGCCGGCCTCTGGCCTCACCAAGTGCTCCCGGACTCCCGAGAACCTGGGGGAAGAGACACAGCTGTCGCCTGGGCTGGACTGGTCGGCAGGAGGGCGCAGGGCCGCAGACAGCGCCCCCAAGGAGAGCGTGGGGCCTGGGCGGCGCCGCTGCTGAGGGACCCGAGCCGTGTGCGGGAAGCGCCTCGGCCGCTCTGCGGGTGTTGCGGCGCCCGGCCCCGGCGCCCTGGGGACCAGCAGATGCATCTCGCCGGCGCTGAGGCACCCGCACGGCAATAAAAATAGCGGGATTACTTTTCCGGCTGGCCCAGGATGGTTTCTTTCGCATTAAGACTGGATGCCAACAGCACGGCCCCTGCCGAATCCCTGCTCGGGTGCGTGTGAGCGGCGCCCGCGAGTCCGGCGGACCCACGGAGAGGCCGGCCACGCGGTAGGAGCTCTGTGGGGACCCGGGAGGCCGCGGCCGGACTGCAGCTGCGCCCGGCTGGGTGCGGGTGTGCGGCTGCGCCCGCCTGCACGGACACCGCTTCTTCGCACCTGCGGGGAACGGGGACCGAGGCCCTGCGGCGAGCGCGTGGCCTGAGGGGCGCTTTCACGCCCAGGTTTTTCCCTTCGTCGTCCGTGGATAACTTTAATAAAGGTCATTTCAGAAGAACGTGCGTTTTTAAAGACTCCGGCAGTGAGCCTGAGGAGCCGTGTGCGGGGCGGGGGGTTATGGAGTGCATCTATCGATTGACGGTGTGTGCCGACGCCTGCGCCGCGTGCTGTTTTAGTGTTTGGGGGAAATGAGAATTAAAACCTGTTCTTTAGCATAATAAATATGTCTTATTTTAAGTGTCTCAGGTTTTCCTCATTATTAAAATGCTGTCGAGCTGCTAACGCAGAAGAATCCTTGGGCGCCAGGGCAGGTGACACCCCCAGAGCGCAGAGGTGGAGCCGCCCGCACCCGGCTCCTTGGTCCCGGGAGGGAACACCAGCCGGCCGGGGGTTGTGTTGGGGGATTGGGGCTGGTGCCCCCACACCGCCGGGGCTCAGCAGTGACAGGAGCTCCCCGTGGTATCGCCCAGGGGCTGTGACGCAACCTGGGGGCGCTGCCTGATGTACAACAGAAACTGTGGATCAAGCCCTCCTTCTGCTTTTTATAAAAAAAGGAAGTTTACTCCATTGGGATGGGACTTTGCATGGTTCACCCGCTTCTATTTCCTCTGTGTTGTAAGTTGCAATAATGTAATAAACTGGGCATGTTCTGCGGTTGTACTAAAGTGCTTTTTCTAGAAGCAGTCCTGGGGAGCTGGCCAGCAGTGTCAGCCCCAGGGTGGCCCTTTGGTGTTGTGCGGGGTTCCTGTCTGAAGATCTCTCTCCTGTGGAGGGTTCCAGACGGGAGGGAGAAGAAGGCCCAGGAGAGACTGGTGGGTAGAAGTATGTGACTGCAGAACAGGTGGGGTTTTCTTTATTTACTTACTTACTTGGAAGACAGAGTTGCAAATACAGGAAGAGAAGGGACCTCCTTCCACTGGTTCACTCCCCAAATGGCCACAACAGCTAGGGCTGAGTCAAACGGAAGCCAGGAGCTTCTTGGTCTCCCATGTTGGTGCAGGGTCCCAGACACCTGGGCCATCTTCCACTGCTTTCCCACGCCATTAACAGGGAGCTGGATCAGAAGTGGAGCAGCCGGGACTCAAACCAGTGCCAATATGGTGCTGGCATTGCAGATGGTGGCTTTACCCACTGTCATAACGCCGGCCCCTGTACTTATATGAAAGGCAGAGAGACAGATAGCTCTACCAAGGGCCCCTCCCTCTCCAAATGCCTGAAACAACGGGGGCTGGGACAGGCCAAAGCCAGGAGCCCAGAACTCGGTCTGGGTCTGTCGCAGGAGTAGCAGGGAGGGACCCAAGTATTTGAGCCATCATCTGCTGCCTCCCAGGGCGTGCAGGAAGCTGGAACAGGAGCAGGACCGGGACTCACATTCAGGCACCTTCAGTATGGAACACAGGTGCAAAACACCTGATCCTCGCCGGCGCCGTGGCTCACTAGGCTAATCCTCCGCCTAGCGGCGCCGGTATACCAGGTTCTAGTCCCGGTCGGGGCGCCGGATTCTGTCCCGGTTGCCCCTCTTCCAGGCCAGCCCTCTGCTGTGGCCAGGGAGTACAGTGGAGGATGGCCCAGGTGCTTGGGCCCTGCACCCCATGGGACACCAGGAAAAACACCTGGCTCCTGGCTCCTGCCATCGGATCAGTGCGGTGCGCCGGCCACAACGCGCCAGCCGCAGCGGCCATTGGAGGGTGAACCAATGGCAAAAGGAAGACCTTTCTCTCTGTCTCTCTCTCTCACTGTCCACTTTGCCTGTCAAAAAAAAAAAAAAAAAAAAAAAAAAAAAAAAAAAAAAAAAAACAACTGATCCTCAAAATCGTTTTGCACCAAAAGTATCTTTTCATTTCACTTTGTGTGAACTTTCTTTCTGATGTGCCCTAGATCCATATAAAGGTCCTAACTGTAAAAGAAGCGGCCTAGATGTTTATGTGTAAGCAATGCGGCTTCCATGATGGAACTGGGCAAGGGTGGTCCATTTGAAGTGCCTCAGGTTGTATCATTGCAGCTGTGAGAACCAAGAAAGCTCACTTTTTAAAAACTGCTGTTCGGCCGGCGCCGCGGCTCACTAGGCTAATCCTCCGCCTTGCGGCGCCGGCACACCGGGTTCTAGTCCCGGTCGGGGCGCCGGATTCTGTCCCGGTCACCCCTCTTCCAGGCCAGCTCTCTGCTGTGGCCAGGGAGTGCAGTGGAGGATGGCCCAGGTGCTTGGGTCCTGCACCCCATGGGAGACCAGGAAAAGCACCTGGCTCCTGGCTCCTGCCATCGGATCAGCGCGGTGCGCCGGCCGCAGCGCGCCGGCCGCGGCGGCCATTGGAGGGTGAACCAACGGCAAAGGAAGACCTTTCTCTCTGTCTCTCTCTCTCTCTCACTGTCCACTCTGCCTGTCAAAAAAAAAAAAAAAAAAAAAAAAAAAAAAACTGCTGTTCCCTGGGCCAGTGTTACAGTGTTCCAGGTTCAGCTTCCGCCTGCAGCGCCAGCATCCATATGGGCACTGGTTCGAGACCCCGCTGCTCCACTTCTCATCCGGCTCCCTGCTGATGGCCTGGGAAAGCAGCAGAAGATGGCCCAAGTGCTTGGGCCCCTGCACCCACCTGGGAGACCTGGAAGAGCTTCTGGACTCCTGGCTTTGGCATGGGCAGGCCTGGCCATTTGGGGAGTGAACCTGTGGGTCTGTTTCTCTCTCCTGTCTCTCCTCTCTCTCTAACTCTGCCTTTCAAATAAATTTAAAAAAAAAAAAAACTTAATAAAAACTACTGTTCTTTGGTTTATATGTATTTTTTCCTTTCGCAGTTAATGTTGAGAAGTTGAATAGTCTTCTTTTTTTTTTTTTTTTTTTAAAGATTATTTGAGATGCTGTGGCATAGTGGGTAAAGCCGCCGCCTGCCATGCTGGCATTCCATATGGGCGCCGGTTCAAGTCCCAGCTGCTCCACTTCCGATCCAGCTCTCTGCTATGGCCTGGGGAAGCAATGGAAGATGGCCTAGGTCCTTGGGCCCCTGCACCCACGTGGGAGACTTGGAAGAAGCTCCTGGCTTCGGATCAGTGCAGCTCCAGCTGTTGTGGCCAGTTGGGGAGTGAACCAGTGGATGGAGGACCTCTATCTGCCTCTGCCTCTCCTTCTCTCTCTGACTTTCAAATAAACATATATATATATATATATATTTTTTTTTTAGATTGGAACGCTTCATGAATTTGCGTGTCATCCTTGCGCAGGGGCCATGCTAATCTTCTCTGTGTCGTTCCAATTTTAGTATATGTGCTGCAGAAGCGAGCACTATATATATATATTTTTTTTGACAGAGTGGACAGTGAGAGAGAGAGAGACAGAGAGAAAGGTCTTCCTTTGCTGTTGGTTCACCCTCCAATGGCCGCTGTGGCCGGCGCGCTGCAGCCGGCACACCACACTGATCCGATGGCAGGAGCCAGGAGCCAGGTGCTTTTCCTGGTCTCCCGTGGGGTGCAGGGCCCAAGCACTTGGGCCATCCTCCACTGCACTCCCAGGCCACAGCAGAGAGCTGGCCTGGAAGAGGGGCAACCGGGACAGAATCCAGCGCCCCGACTGGGACTAGAACCTGGTATGCTGGCGCCACAAGGCGGAGGATTAGCCTAGTGAGCTGCGTCGCCGGCTTCAAATAAACAAATCTTAAAAAAAAAAAGTTATTTGAGAGCCAGAGGCAGAGAGAGATCTTCCAATTGCTGGTTCACTCCCCAAATGGCTGCAACGCCCAGAGCTGGGCTGATCTGAAGCCAGGAGCCAGGAGCTTCCTCTGAGTCTCTCACATGGGTGCAGCGGCCCAAGCACCCAGGCCATAGCAGAGAGCTGGACTGGAAGAGGAGCAGCCAGGTCTCAAATAAGCACCCATATGGGATGCTGGCACCGCAGGCAGTGGCTTTACCCACTATGCCACAGCGCTGGCCCCAATTTCTTTTTAAAGAGATATGTATTTATTTGAAAGGCAGAATGATAGAGGGAGAAACAGATCTTCCATCTGCCATTTCACTTCCCAAACAACCACGAGTGAGTGAAACCAGGAGCCTAGAAATCCATGTGGCTGTCCGACATGGGTGCAGGGGCCCAAGCGCTGCTTTCCCAGGCACATTAGTAGGAAGCTGTTTTGAAAGTGCAGCAGCTGGGGGCCGGCGCCACGGCTCACTGAGCTAATCCTCCGCCTTGCGGCGCCGGCACACCGGGTTCTAGTCCCGGTCGGGGCGCTGGATTCTGTCCCGGTCACCCCTCTTCCAGGCCAGCTCTCTGCTGTGGCCAGGGAGTGCAGTGGAGGATGGCCCAAGTGCTTGGACCCTGCACCCCATGGGAGACCAGGATAAAGCACCTGGCTCCTGCCATCGGATCAGTGCAGTGCACCGGCCGCAGCGCGCTGGCTGCGGCGGCCATTGGAGGGTGAACCAACGGCAAAGGAAGACCTTTCTCTCTCTCACTGTCCACTCTGCCTGTTAAAAAAAAAAAAGGCAGCAACAGCTGGGACTCGTACCAGTGCTCAGATAATGGGATGCTGATGTTGCAAGCAGTTTCTTAGGTCACCACACCAAAACACCAGCCCCTTGATTTTTTTTCTTTGAAAGATCCTACATGCTAATATACTCCCTAAATGCCTACAACAGCCAGTACTGGGCCTGGCCAAAGCCAGGTGCTGGGAATTCACAGTCTAGAAGGGTAGCGGGGACCCCTAGCACTTGAGCCATCACCTGCCTTCCAGGGTGTGCGTCAGCAGGAATCAGGAACCAAGCTGGAACTTGAACACAAACATTCCAGTGTGAGATACGGTTTCCCAAGAGGCACCCTTCACGGCTATGCCAAATGCTCTCATCCTGTTCTTTCTCGTTTCTTTTCTTTTTTTTTTTTTTTTAAACAGGCAGAGTTAGAGACGGAAAGGTCTTCCTTCATTTGGTTCATCCCCCAAATGTCTGCTGCAGCCAGTGCGCTGCGCCGATCTGAAGCCAGGAGCCAGGTGCCTCCTCCTGGTCTCCCATGGGGTGCAGGGCCCAAGCACTTGGGCCATCCTCCACTGCACTCCCTGGCCACAGCAGAGAGCTGGCCTGGAAGAGGGGCAACCGGGACAGAATCCGGCACCCCGACCAGGACTAGAACTTGGGGTGCCAGCACTGCAGGCAGAGGATTAGCCTAGTGAGCCGCGGCGCCGGCCTCTCTTTCATTTCTTGTTTGTTTTCTAAAAGGCAGTGGTCTTAACCTCTCTTCCCTTGCCCTGTCTTGCCTACTAAGAGTTCT